GCTCAGATTAGAAGGTTCTGCTTTAAACCCGTGTGGCCTAAAGGGCTGCTCGCTCTCCACGGGATTATTTTTAGCCCCTCGGAGCTACGAGGGAGTGTCGGAACAATCCAAACCGACTTCGGCACCTTTGGATTTCTCAGGAGGCTTTAATCTGCTGTTTAATATACAAGAATGTTGCTGTTGCATCTCACCAGTTGTCATTTTACTGAACTAACTGTTTATTTTACCTTAATTTAAAGTCCTTATTTGAAATTAAATCATTCAAAACTATCTATTGAATTTAGATTTCTGACCCGATCCGTTTTGAGGATGATTCTGATGGATTCTGATTGTTTTAACGTTGTTCAATAATCCAATCCTGACACCCTCACCTTCCAAAGACTTGGATTCTCTCACAGATACTTGTTGCTCAAGCAAAGTGGAAATGTTTTTGGATGAATTCAAAAAGAGCATAAAGCAAATAAGCACAACGACTGAAGTTTTTATCGCAAATTTCCCAACTTCTTTGGAAATTTACATTGTATTTGAAGGTTTTATGACAAAAAATATCAAACTTTTTTTGCAAGAAACTGAACAGTTTTTTGTTGGATTTGTTAAAGTTGTGTTTTTTAAAAATAATTTCAAATCTTTTTAAAAAACTTTTTTGAAAAAAACCTTATTTGAAATTAAATCATTCAAAACTATCTATTAAATTTAGATTCCTGACCTGATCCGTTTTGAGGATGATTCTGATGGATTCTGATTGTTTTAAAGAGGCGGGGTCCAGTCTGGGGTCAGCATGTTGACCCTAAGGTCACGGTTTTGCATCACTCCAAGTCCAGATGTGGAACAGCTGGTCCAGATGTGTGTTCACATGGATCTGGGGGGGGGGGTTGTCCTTCCGTACACAAACGCAGAGGATTACTATTCCCCATATGAAGAGGAAAGGGTTGTCTATCTTCCACCAATGCGGCGGTATGTTTTGGTATGTATCAAGCTATTTAAGTTACTTGAATGAGTGTGTTGTAAATATTGCACATTACTATTGATCACTTTTTTTATTTATTATATCACATCATTTTCTTATTATATGTCTAATTTATCTAACTTATCTAATTTATGTCTAATTTATGTCTGCACGGGAGAGCGAGAAACGAAATTTCAATTCAATTGTATGATCAACAAATCATGTAAAGAAATTGACAATAAAGCCTAGTTGACTTGACTTAACTGAATCCAATTCACTAATTATGATCAAAACATGGTCAGTGCTTCAATTACAATGTGGAAGCCCAGATTGGCCTGGCTTGGCCTGGCCTGGCCCGGTGTCGGGTTACAGTGGGCGTTAAGACTCTGGGCATATCTGTGTTTGTGTTTGATGTCACCCCCCCCCCCCTCCTCCCGGGAGACGGCGGTCCGAGGGCCTGGGGGGGTGAAACCTGAGAGCTCCGTAGTAAACAACAACTCCTTTATGCCTGCTGCATTCACAGATCTCAGAGACAAAGATGAGTTTTTTTCTTCTTTTTATTTTGGGCTTGTGGGGGCTGAAACAGCTTAACATTATTGTTTGTTCATTTAAAGTTGGGATGATTTGGACCGATGGGTTTCCATTAAAACTGTGCTCATTCTGATAATAGTCAAACTGAAGTTGATATCTACATTAAACCTGTTGTTCTTCAAGGTGTTTGTTATCATTTTGATTTTTTCAGGGGCTAATGTCCGTTATTAACCCTTTAAAGCCCGATCCAAGAATAAAACAAAACAGAAAATTACTTTTTTTTTTGTTTGAATTCCTTATTTGGCCTTTTAACAAAATATGTACAAAGAAAAAACAGAAATACATTTTTGATGTTAATTATTTATTACTATGCGATAAATCAAGAATATTTTTTGTGTAGTTTTCTGCCCCCTGTTATCAGGTGTATCTGATTGTGTACAATAGGATTTTGACTTTTTACCATTAAATTATGCAAAAGGTGTCAGATAATAGCAAATCCTATTTCAAGGAAAACTTTGAAATGTCCTAAAACGCAACAATAGCTACCATCTTACATTTGTGAGTTGGTTCAAACCTCCATAGACAAACCGACCAACTTTATTCTTTTTAGAAATCATGAAAATAATCTACAGATTGATGCTAAGAAACATGTTTTTTTGGTCTAACCACTCCGAAACTGAGTGACTGGCAATATCTGTTGATATTTTTCAGAGGAATTCAGACTATTTGTACTCTTTTAAATCCTCTTTATAAAAAAATGAGACTTTTGAAATGTAAGAATAAACTAAGTTTGTGGTCATCTTGTGCTGACAGTCTTTTATACCCAATCCTGACACCCTCACCTTTCAAAGACTAATCTTTCAGGGACTTTTTCTTGTCTGTTCTGCAAACTTTTTTCCTTTTCTTGGATTCTCTCACAGATACTTGTTGCTCAAGCAAAGAGGAAAATGTTTTTTGATGAATTCAAAAAGAGCATAAAGCAAAATAAGCACAATGACGGAAGTTTTCAGCGCAAATTTTCCAACTTCTTCGGAAATTTACTTGGTATTTGAAGGTTTTGTAGCAAAAAATATCAAACTTTTTGCAAGAAACTGAACTGTTTTGTTGGATTTTTTTCTAAAAGTTGTGTTTTTTTCAAAAAAAACCTTTAACTTTTTAAAAAACCACAACCGAAAAATAAAATCCTTAAGCTTTTCCAAAGCTCTGAGTGTGCTAA